TGTTGCCTCACAGCAAGAATGTCTCTGGTTCCTGGCTTTAACAAACCAGCAGACATTTCTGTGTGGAGTTTGCACTTCTCCCTGTGCTCACGTGGGTTTCCCCCGGGTTCCTCCCACTAAATTGCCACAATAGATATGCTTCTAGTACGTAGTTATCTTCAAGAGCAATCACTTACTGTTCATTGGTTACTACAGCAGGGGAGTTCTCGAGATCTACCTGAGCTCAAACTCCCTTCCCGCCTTGCAACGGGAGGGAGCCCTGGGCTCGAGGATCTCATGAGCTCAGGGCTCTCTCCCTGGACAGCATGCCAAACAAGCTTTTATAATTAATCATCAGCTAAGTGTGAACTCTTGAAGCGTCATTTCGATGTGTCGTTACACTTTTTGAGAGGTGCACGTCAGCGACGCCGACGGCCACGGCGTAGGACTATGCGTCAACGCATAGGCTGCGCCGTAGCATACGCGTACACTTGACGCAGAAGTATAAATCACCCTTAACTGTCATGATAAAATGGATGCAGTAGTCAGCGAGTAGAGTTGCTACATGAATGAGTATAATAATATATCAAATGAATATATTAATATACACTTAACACACCTCACACAAACGTTTCCATACCTCTCACTGCACACCATCAAGATGTGGCATGCACTGCACTTTAACCAATTCATACTTAAAACAATACTGCCTACAACTGTGTGCACACCTATTCATTTTACATATCGCTGTCAACATTGCCAATATACATTGTCTTGTTTTTTGGGGAGTACATTGTTGCATGTAGTTGTATTTTGCACTGACGATTTATTTGCACTGGAGCCAGCACCTAAGCTTTTTCACTCATCATAGCACACGTGCTGCTGATGATGTGACAATAAAAGTGATTTGATTTTGGTTGTGGATAAATTTGGAGAAAACTCATGAAAGCATTTGCTGAAAATGTTCTCTGGTAAGTATTTCCGCCATCTTGCCAACAGCATCTCGTTGTGACATCTTGCATGCTTCAATGGGATCTCGATAACTGCAAGTTACGCCTCTAACTTACTACAAGTTACGCCTTATTCTTACAGTCAGCAGACAGATACTCTTGAGATGGTGCATCATATGAGATTGAAAAACTCAGATCTGTACAAGACCTGATTTTTTTAACATCAATTCTGAGCCACTTCCAAATGTGCTTTGAAATGAGACGCATATCCGATATCTGGAAATCTGACCTGAGACTTGAAACGTGTATCGGATTCCCTTTGGAGTTTAAAGACACAACAATGAAAGGCCAGCATGTTTACCCACAAACATGACTCTATAATGTTGTTTTGTGAAGCAGGCATCCCTTAAAGCTTCGACATCATCAGAAGCAGAAGCTCTTATCAGTACTTCTTTGATTATCTGAATGATTATAACACAGAAGATACACAGTAGGTTTAAAACTGATCTCTCTGGGTCAAACAGTGCACTTCTGTGATGGGTTTATAAAAGTATGTGAATGGCAGTCATTAAAAAAAAAAGATTGTGTGGGTGTCAATCGTGCACAACTAATTGCGCAGCTCTAATATAGAGAAATATTTCCTTTTGGAGTGTGTTAGGTCCCATGTGGGACCTGTTTGTATGTGTCTTTTGTGATTTGCAGAGCCTGCATGATGATTGCAGATTGGTGGGTGGGTCATCTCACCTGAGACCCATTGTGTGGTTCTTTTAGGGCCTACTCACACTATGCCATCCGTACCGTGCCCAGGCCCCTTTCCCGGATCGTTTGAGAAGTGTAAGTGCGCTGAATCGGGCTCAAGCACGGTTCACTTGGCCGGCCCTGGCCCGGTTGGAAGAGGTGTGCCTGAGCGCGGTTTACTTGGGCTTTGGCGCGGTACGCTTGTGTGTGAGTGCAAAACGCGCCAAAGCCCGAAACTGAAAGCGAGACGTGACTTTTAAGGGGCTGTTTCATATGGATTTATTAAACATTCTTACTGTTCAGTGAACGCAAACTGCCGTAGTTCATTAAAGACGAGAACTCCTCACTGCACGACAGCTGCGCGCCTTCAGCAGACCGCCTCATTCCTGCAGCACTAGAGCTTTATGATTGTTTATGAGCGCCAAAAGTGGCGGATCTGTTCGGCGAAATATCTGACTGTGTGTCCCCGCATCCCTAAGGACTGTTTGGCGAAATATTTGACGGCATATCAAACGACTGACACGATATAACTAGAGAAATCTCGACTGTGCTGCTGAGTGAGAGAGCTTCTCACTGAACAGCGCAGCAGCGATGCCGTTTGTGGTGTGAGCGCGGGCCGTCGGGGGAGACGGGAGGGGGGACAAGCATGCTTTGGCCCGGTTTGAGGCAACTGTACCTAGTGTGAGTACGGCCTTAAGGAGTCCAGCATTCTGTCTGAGAGAGCTCGATTAGCCGGACGTCTCTGCTTGGCGTTTTTTATTTATTTTAGTTTGTTTTTGGATCATCAGCTCAGTACACTACAATACACGTGCTTTTCACTACTGACTTCCATTTATACTGACTTTGATTGCTTTAAATACTTTTGTTAGTTATGTGTTTTGTTAATAAATCATTTCTCTTTTTAATTTATCTGGTCCGTATTGTCTCTCTAATGTTGCAACTTTAACAGAGTGGCTTTGTGTTTTGCACAGATATCGTTCATGGTAAAAGAAAAGCCTGACAGGACCCTTTAAAGGGGCAGTAAGCTATTTTTGAATATATATTTGACTATAACTTTGGACCAAATCTCAAAACACACCTGCAGCCAATCATAAGAAAGGGGTGTGTCTAGTAACTAGCATAGTATAGTGGTTTTGTTGGGTCATGAGCATGGGTCTCAAACTTGATTCCTTGAGGGCCGCAGCTCTGCACAGTTTTGCTTCAACCCTAATCAAACACAGCTGATGCAACTAATCAAGGTGTTCAAGACTACTAAAACTATTAAGCAGGTGTGAGTTGGAGTTGGTTGGAGTTAAACTATGCAGAGCTGCGGCCCTCCAGGAATTGAGTTTGAGACCATTAGTTATGAGCGTCTTTGTTTTGGTGCTTTTAAATATCAGCATTATTTGGCTTTAATGTATTATAAACCTGGATTACGAGTTTCAGAACTAACGAAAGTGCCTAAATTCTGTTAGACCCGCAGTCTTAAGGGCTGTTCACTCCTAGCACGATAACTATAAGGATAAATGTAGCAAGAACTATATCTGCGTTAGTCCCCAGCAAATGATTGATTTGTGTTTGTTTTAAGTGTATTGCATTACCCACATTTTACCAGCAGATGTCCTCAGTGTGCTGCGTGTCTAGCGCATCAGAAACAGTGAATCCTGCTCTTGTAATCTATCAAATTTAGCGATTGCAGTCAGTGTGATGGAATAAAAACAACACAAATTATTTTTTCCAAGCGTTTTTAAAGGAAGCGACACAAAGACGCCAAAACCAGCACTGGAAATCTGAGGTACTATTATTTTCATACTTCAATTTAATTTTTGTACAACTAACAATTTTCTAGCCTGGCTTGTGTAGCTTCCGGTGTAACTTTTATCATTCATTTTCATAGGGAATTTATTTTTAAGAGTCATTTTCTTTAAATAATCTTTGAAAATAGGGCTCAACATCAGGAAGAATCAAATTTCGTGAGCCTTTTTATTTCAATGTATTCTTACTGGCTGTCACGGTTTTATCATTCATTAGCTGGACAAAAATCTTTCTAAAAGTGATTCCAAAGATATCGTTTTCTACATCTTTATCATTATATCCTAACTTTGATGTAAGTTTAAATTCAGAATTCGAGTTGTAGAATGATCATTATCTTTATAGCCATCATGCTAATAACAGGTACATAGGCATAGGAATTGTGCTATTAAACAAAACACTGTGAGGCTTATCAGAATCTGTTCGAATAATAATTAGATTAATACATATTCAATTTTTAATTTGGTCAATTGAATAAACTTAATACTAGTGTATGTGTGCGAATGAGTGTGTATGGATGTTTCCCAGTGCTGGGTTGCAGCTGGAAGGGCATCCGCTGTGTAAAACATTTGCTGGATAAGTTGGCGGTTCATTCCGCTGTGGCGACCCCTGATAAATAAAGGACTAAGCTGAAAGACAATGAATGAACTATTTTACATTTTGAAATTACACGAACTGGATTCACTGGTTAGATGCACAAGTAGTTCACTGAGGACATCTGCTGGTTACAAGAAGGAAATGCTTAATAAACAGATTTAAACAAAAAATAAAAATTTCTATCATTCGTCAGTGTGGATGCAAATATATTTATAGTTACATTTATAGTTATTGTGTATGGGGATTTTAAGGTGCGTGTTTCTCTAACCTGTGTTGTGGTCATCACTGAACGAGTGCTGCTCTCGGTCGGAGCGGCTCTGCTGGGCGTGGTCTGTGGTTGCCTGGGGCGCACAGCGGTGGGGCTTGGAGTGGTCAGAATAGGACGTGGCCTGGTCGGTTTAGCAGTGGTGGATGGAATGGTGGTGGGTATAAACTCGGTGGTTGTGATCTCATCGGTTATCATATCTGTCTCGCTGGATGGATCTAAAACGATAGTTTCTTTAGTAATATACAGATCTTCATCTGTTTCTTCTTCTCTGCCGCCGAGATCCTCGAGGTCAGTAGTGGTCTCTGTGGCTCCACCAACAGTAGAGGAGCCCAAAAACACTATAGGAACGTCAGTCAGTCGTGGCGCAACTGTAGCCTTCGACCGATCTTGCTCTCGCTCTTGTACTTTCTCAGTATCAGGTTCCTGCTCCTTCCTCGTTGGCCGAATTTCTTCCTCCTCGTCATACTCTTCATACTTTTTCTCAATTTCTAGTTTGCTGTCGACATCTTGACCCAAACCGCTCTCCCGCTCTACCTCGGGTGGAGGCGGACTGCTTGGCTCTGCTGCAGGAGAGGCCGAGGGGGCAGGGCCTGTGGCCTGGGTGGTGGAGAGTGGGAGGGGCTCCTCTGTAGTGAAAACCACGCCCACTGAAGACGGTCTAACTTTTATATCTGGATCTGAAAGCGTAAAAGAAAGAGTGATGAAAACGCAGCGAGACGGGGTGAGGGAGATCAATACTCACAGCCATTTTAGACAGTGTTAATGTGTCATATGATACCGGGCGCAAGCGTCTGCAAGGCTTCAAAGCAACCTTTAGATTGGTCAGCCCAGGAATGTGAACATCCCCATGGCAACACATGAATAAAATATCAATAACCTTGGTAAAGAAATACACAAGCGCACACACACAGATGCAGAGAACAAAGCAGGCTGCACTGAAACAAATAAAGCACACACACACACACACACACACACACACACACACACACACACACACACACACACACACAGACACAGACACAGACACAGACACAGACACAGACACAGACACACACACACACACACACATACACACACATACACACACATACACACACATACATACAGACAATGGTTCTTTAACTACAGGCACTTTTTATGTCCCAAGGGTTGGTTTTTATTGAAGCTAACCGATTTCAACAGATAATACTTTTTTCTTTTTTATTATAAGACGAAAGTTGCATTGAATTTGTCTTAGAATCTTTGCCTTTTATTATTTTTATGTTTCAAATGCTTAAGCTTTATTGTTTACACTTGATGTTTCATCGGCAGATATGAAAATCCATCAATAGCGAATGTATTTTTAACATGTATAATCTAAACAAGGATTTAAAATCAGAAACCACATAGAATCTCATATTTTATTTATATAAGCAACACGGGGAGAACATGCAAACTCCATACAAAACTGCCAAATGACCCAGCCGGGACTCGAAGCAGAGACCTTCTTGCTGTGAGGTGACAGTGCATTTAGGATCAGGTTTAAGCTCCTTGCTATAAATTTTGCGTGGAGTTATACAAGCCCTTTGGATGAAGTTTAAATGAATCTGTTGATGATTCGAATTCCTGGATGCAAGTGTTACCATTGCCCAGACTTTGCCCCAATCAAAGCTAGGAGAAAGTTCTGAAACAGTTGCTGTCTAGGAAGAGTCTAATGACAGAGGGAGGTACATTTTTTCTAAAAACTAGGTACAGTTAATGTCAGAATTATTAGCGCCCCTGTTTATTTTTCCCTAATTTCTGTTTAACGAAGAGCTGATTTTACTAATCATAATAATTTTGATAACTCATTTCTAATAACTGATTTATTTTATCTTTGCAATGATGACAGTAAATAATGTTTGACTAGATATTCTTCAAGACACTTCTATACAGCTTAAAGTGACATTTAAATGTTTAACTAGGTTAATTAGGGTAATTAGGCAGGTTAGGGGAATTAGGCAAGTTATTGTATAACGATGGTTTGTTCTGTAGACTATTTGAGAAAAAATAGCTTAAAGGGACTAATAATATTGTCCTTAAAATGGTGTTTAAAAAATGTAAAACTGATTTTATTCTAGCCTAAATAAAACAAATAAGACTTTCTCCAGAAAAAAAAATATTATCAGACATACTGTGAACATTTCCTGAATCTGTTAAACATCATTTGGGAAATATTTAAAAAAAGAAAATGTAAAGGGGGGCTAATAATTCTGACCAATCCTTGCGTTCCTTGAGAGTTGTGCAATAGTTTCAACAAAGGGTGTTCTTTAGTAGTTTTGTGTAGTAGTGATGTTTAAATCAGCGTCATGCATAATGAATTATATTTTTGCACTTTTACACATAATAATCCATGATCACATTACACAATGTTGAAACGCCATGTCAAAATAACACATTGTGAATTTTTGAGACCTCCTAAAATTTTCACAAATCATGTTTTCAGGAGCCCTTGCCTTATTTAGGGGAGCTGAGCTCCCCCAAAAGTTTGCACCCTGTATAAAATTATGTCGTGACGTGAACATGACATTGTAAACATTGATAATTTAATGCTAAATATGTATCTTTTTTCATATAATCTGAAACAATTACATCTTAACCAACATAAAAATATAGGTAACAAAAATGTCAAATATTTTAGATTAGAAGAAAAGAATGTGGTGCAAATTACATCACAACTTTAATTTGTAAAAATGTGTTGCATATTAAAAAAAAATATGAGATACTGTTGTATGTGGTTTCTGATTATAAATCTTTGTTTAGATTGTACATGTTTAAAATACATTCGCTATTGATGGATTTTTCATAATTGATGATTAAACATGAAGTGTAAACAATAAAGCTTAAGCATTTGACACATGAGAAGTTTCTCGCATCCAATATCTCGTTTGTCACATGGGGTATGCATGAAATGTTCCTGAATGAAAGTTCCAAACTGCAGTTAAAGTCCACAAATTAAGAACGAAACACCCGAAATTACGTGAAACTCCGGAGGAAATGTGGATAGCACGATGACGCAATGACGTTTATTGAATTATGTGCTGTAACATGTAAAACAGGATCATGAAAGGAACATTTAAAAAGCAGCTCTTGTTACGGGCTTATTCAGATTAAGACAAATAATTGGATTACTGATAAATAAACATGAAGGGCCCTATTATACACCCGGCGCAGTGGGGCGTAAGACGCGGCGCAATAGTCTTTTGGTAGTTTAAGCCTGGCGCAAGAGTTGTTTTGAGGCGTTGTGCTGCGCTCTTTAAATAGCAAATGCATTCGCGCTCATTTTTGCGCCCATAGGCGTTCTGGTCTAAAAAGGAAGGCGTTCTGAGGCGGACTGCTGGCGCGTTGCTATTTTGAGAAACTATAATAGATTTTTCATTAGACCAAAACAAACCCGGTCTAAACTCCAGCGCAGAGCAGCACCTCGCTTACGCACTGCTTAATACGCACAAGAGAGCAATAGGCAAATATCTTTACGTATGAAAAAATTTAAATATTAAGGATATATATAGGATATAATAAGAATAGATATAGGATATAAATATAAAGGATTAAAATATTACAAAACATTATTCTAGCCTACATAAATATGAAAAATCACTGCTTTTATGTCTTCTTCATCTCGGGAGGCTTTTTCAGTTCATTCATAACAATTTGCTTTTGTATAATGTTATTATTATTAGCAGTATTATTTATTATATCCATATTTATATTTGTTTTATTAAAAACAAGCTTAGATTTGCCCACCTGTCAGGTTTTAGACTATATGGGGCACAGCATGTGTTTTAGGATATAACTGTTTTTAAGCACATTTTGCTATTATTGTTCATTTATTCGTTTGCTGGAAATTAGAACTGAATTGAGAAATAGTTTTGAAACGAATATTTGCGCTTAACAAACAAAAGTATTTATTTATAGACTAATTGATGTCTGTGCGTAAAGGTTTCCCTATCCAAGAGCGAAAGTGAAAGTAGATCCATATCTGTCATTCTCACGCAGTAGATGCTCTGTTTAACAGTTTTCTGTTAAAAAAACTGTTAACTGTTAACTGTTTGCTAGTGAAATGCTCATTTTTTCCACTTAGACTTATTTGCGTCCTGTAAATAGCGAATGCGCTCTTGGCGTGACGCAGCTGGCTCTTAAAGGGAATGGGAGATGAGACTCTGATTGGTTTATTCTTAAAAAAACCTATAACTCATTAAAAAAAAATAAACTCAACACTTTTAGACCATGCGCCAAAGCGCAAGGCAGATTTCCTGTCCTTAAATTAGCAAAAACGCGTCCTGACACGCCCTGAAAGCATTTGCGCCCTGCGTTTTGCGCATGGACCGTCAAAATAGAGCCCGAAGTGTCCCGAATCGACACGCCATGCATTTTAGAACTCTAAACACAGGTTTCCATCAGGGCACACAATGGCGCCCAAAGTATGACGAGACTTGAAGCGCCGCCGCGTGCACACCGACAGAAACCCACGTCCAGAATTCCAAAATGCATGGCGCTGCGTCAGCGTCGCGGCACATAGAGAGGAGCTTCTAATGTGCGACCTGCAGGCAAGGCTGTTATTTTATTTCCAATGGAGAGACACGCACATGAGGCAATGCACTTGCACTTTTCTAGCTACACCTAGTTAAGATCAGAGGGAGCTTCTGTGAACATGAGAAATACAAATGGCTGAAGTTTAAGGTAGACACAGTGAAAAGTACACGTGTTTGCAAAACTCCCCAAAAATATAAACAATAATTATAGTTAAAGCGATAATGTGGAAAATATTGATCTTGTGTTAAGCCCAATGAGCCTTAAAAATCTTAAATCTTAAAATTTATGAGATCTTAAAATAGAGCAAGGGTGTTCCTTTGGTGATATCGCTTTGACTCACGCTGAAAATGGCAGACGTGAAACAACAAACTAAGGATATGGTGACACGCGCCTGTCAATCAAAATTGGTGGGCGGGGGGACCGCACTCCTACGTCAAGTTGCGGTCGATCTGGAAACCGCTCAAATTGGTCCACCGTTTTTATGTTGTTAAATTGAAAAAAAAAACACTGGGTGTGTTTATATCACCCTAATATGACGGTCTATACACTATACCTACACACATGTCTGTCCAAACAGCTTGAAAAGTAGATTTTTTACCATAGGTGCCCTTTTAAACCTTATCTGTGTGGTATTTTGAGCTGAAACTTCACATACACACTCTAGGGACATCATTTTACATGTTGTAAAAAGGGATATAATAGGTCCCTTTTAATCTCTTTTATGAATTATAGGCTCTATATGCTTTCAAATAGGATTTATCAAACAGTCGATGCTTTAAAACTCCCAAGATCCATTCTTGTTTTCTTTTTATTTTGCAAGTGAAATACACAATGTCAGAGGCACTTTATTACGAACAAAAATTACGAGTAAATGATAAATATCACACACTCCAAGTGTAGACGTTTTCGCAAAACACCACAATAGTTATTTAAATCCACTGCTAAACGATGTTAGCGGTTAGATTAAATAACGTGTGAGAAAGCGCGCTCAGAGTTTATTTTCTAAAGTTCCACAGGGTCAAAAGGGCTCTGAAGAAACACCCAAACGCCAGCGGATATTGGCCGTCCACACCCAGATTCCTGCCGATTAAGTGATCTTATTTACAGTAATCTGATTAGCGAG